TCGTTCCATAAAAACCTTAGACACAGCTCAATATGAGAATCAATAAAAATTAAAAGTTTCTCAATGTAGAACTTATTCAAAAAGGTGGTAGGCCAACAAGCCGGAAAAAAAACTTTCCACCAAATCAAAATTAATTTTGTGTTCTAATAAAAACAACAAATTGTCACTGTTCATATGCAACTATTACGTAATTCTTATAGAATTTATGTTACTCTTTGCAATTTTCAGTTTAAGATATGGCTGTTTGCTGAATATCCGCCATTCAAACAATGTCTGCCAAGGATATCGGAAAAACACAAAACTCAACTGTAAAAATTGTTGAAAGCAAAAAATATTCAATAATATGTTGCTCAATAGCAACTCATGTACAATACAAAGTAATTTTCAAAAAAATGGCTCAAAATTTGTTCAATCGGATGGAACTTAATCCTATGCTTACGAAAAAACCGAAGGAGCAAAATATATGAACTTTCAAAACAAGAAATTCTAATAAATTGCAAAAAGCTGATATTATCAAAAATTGAGCCAAATTCAAATGTAGAGCTTGAACAACATCAACACAGAGGCGAAGCTGAGCTTCGCACAACTTGCTATACAAAACAAGAAAGCCGCTAAGTCAAAAAACAAAATCGAAAAATTCGAAAAATCTCGATCTATCGATAAAGCTAGTTTGGAACCACACACGAGTCATGGCAATAGAATTAGAAACTAGCATCGAAGATAAAGTTACCAAGCGGTAACAAAGCCGGAAACACTAGCAGAAACTCTTTAGGCCGAATAAATTAGAAAAAAAAACTATCAAGTCCCCCACATCCTCAAAAAAAACAAACACACAAACATAAACAAACTTTATTCACACGTCAAATGAAACGCGGGAAAAGTTACCAAGCGGTAACAAAGCCGCAAATACCTTAGCAGAAACTCTTCAGGCCGAATAAAATAATTAAAAAAATTATCAAGTTCCCACATCCTCAAACAAACAAACCAACAAACACACACACACAAACAAATTTCATTCACGCGTCAAATGAAGCAATACGCGGTCACTATGCCGATATAATATTGTTTGAAACCTATTAAGCCAAAAAAGGAACAAAAAAGACAAAGCCAAAAAAAACACAAATTAAGGACTAATAAAAAGTTTACAAGTTCCCCTCAACATCAAAACACGTAAACAGCTCGTGAAACGACGCAATATGAGGCGAATAAGCCGATGTGATATAGGCCAAAACCTATGAAGGAAAAGAAGAACCAAAATAATTGAAAATGTTTTAAGACTACTAAAAAGTTATTAAGTCCCCTCACACTCAGAACACAGACACGCACACACAAACATTTATCGCCCCTCAAAATAAGACTATTAAACCGATATAATATAGGCCGAAACTTATCAAGCCGAACAAAAACAAAAACAAAAAAGCCGACAAAAATCGCTGTCATGAAAAACGAACTATAATTTTCGGAATTTTAGAATTTTTTCGATCCAGATGTGAGCATACAAATTATTTTTCCCTTGAAAAGTGTAGCGAAAATCAAATGTAAAGCCCGACAAATACCAAAGAAGCATGACAGTTTAGAGCAAAAAATTTAAGAGCAAAAATTTTGGCAGTTTAGAGCATAATTCAAAAATCAGCTTTTGGATAAAGGACTTAGGTGATATGGCATAGTCACTTAAAAGTTATCTTACATTCACTTAAATGCTAAGGGTTGATCTGAAAACTCATTTATAGTTCACGCAAGGCGGATAGTTAACCGAGGGGTTCTTGATTTGTCTAAGAGGAAAATCTCGACCTAGGAGCTTCTCTTCGGTATGAAAGCCAGGAAAAGATACAATCAGATGTCCATTCCAGAGCATATACTCCTCCATACAGTACACTGAAATGGCCTCGGTAAAAAAAAATGTTGTCGCTGGAAATTCAACATTCGGATTTTTCGGAAAAATCACAGCCTTGCTAAGCGACTATGACTCTTTGTCATAATTCAGTTAGATGGCAACCTCACATAATCAAGCGATAAAACAATGTGAAACAAAAAAGAGTCTACTGTGTTTCGCATTGGCAAACTAAAAACACAACTCATACAGATTTCTTTAGCGCTGATTTGTCGATACGTTTTCAAATTAAACTACTGGTAAACGCCGGACTCAATCTCTCTGCCTTGAGTGATATATTAACTTCGAAGTTCCAGATATTTACCACTATACAGTAGCAGATTTATGGAGAGGGGGGGAGGCGGACGCCCCCTCAGTGATTCGACCCCCTGCCGACCCAAAGGGTCCCCCCTTTGGTACTTTTTAAGAAACCCATTTCTGAGCGACCAAACCTAAAATTTTTGTAAAGTCGCCTTTGGCGCCAATATATACTAATTTTGAGGGGGGAGTGCGCGCCGAAAAAACGCAATTTTTTGGTCGAACTGTTCCAAAAAGTGCCTAAAAACGCTATTTCTGGCCTGTTTTTTAAAACGGCGAAGAAATCTTGGCCAAAACAGGGTCTTTATAGTGGTTTGGGAGAGCTCAGAAAATCAGTTTGGTCGACCTAAAAGGTCGACAAAACTTTCAATTTTTTTTGAAAATCCACCCCCCCCCCCCGAGAAATTCCTAGATCCGCGCCTGCCATTATACCAAAGAACACATTATGTGAATATGGTGCATAGATGAGCGACAAGAAATGGACGAAAGAGGCGTAGAATAGATTTTTGTTAAGAATCGTAAAAAAAAAAACTGACGCCTCACCTCACCTGTCGAACGCCGACTAAATGCGAATTTTTTAAAAACAAAAGATTAACTTGCGACGATAGAAAATTCAAAACATAAAACTTAAGACCTGATTTGAATACTGACGAGAAAACGAGTCGTATTCAAAATAACGCTGACATTTAAAAACTTCCATCTGTTCGGTTTCTGAAAGGTCTTCCTTTTTCTGTCAATTTCTCCCCTGTACAGTGAATCTGAACCCACAAATCACCTATCAGGTCAAACGCCAGGCGCATAATTGACCAATACTAATTACAGTACCAGTACCAGTAACAAGTACAGTACAGTAGCAACTTTTACGGGAAAACAATAGCCACGAGAAAAAGTTCAACGCATGAAATAGACAATTATACTAATCGAATCAAAAATATCACTGCTTTCAAAAATACAGAAAAAATAGACAGCAACTTGGAGAATGGAAGACGCCTTCACAAATAAGTAACTATCGAACTTACTGTAATCAACCAAAATTAGAGCGTTCTTATTCATGCATTCTTATTCATTTTAACACCAAATTCACATAAGGAGATTTATTCAACTCGGAATTTATAACAAATACACCAGCCGATAAAATCAAAAAGGGGACAAAACTTTATAAATCGGTCAAATAGCACTTTATTTAAATCACTTTATTTAAATCACTGAGCAGCCGACATATATCTGAACAATTTTAATTAATTCTTAAATTTTTGAAATCTGCGAAAATTATCCTGCATTTTAAGGTTAAACTTGCAAGTTTTAAAACGCAATAAACTCAACAGTTCAAGTTAGATTACAATTATTATTTCTTCGTTCATTTTATTATATTAGATACCACTTGAGAAACAACAAAAATAGAACAGTAGCTAGCGAAAAGAAAATAAGCCACTCAGTCAAAAAAAAACACCTTAAATTTTGTACGTTTGTCTCTCTGCGGTTCAAATTGAGGAAAAGAACCACAATTGCCAATGTGAAATTGTTAAATGAGTACTGAAACAAAACTAATCACGCGGTAACTAAGCAGACAAAACTTGGGTAGAGAGGACCGTTGAAATCCCCCCACCGAAGCACAAAAGAACGAAAACATCATTTGGTCTTTCCAACTGCGAATTATGAGGGAAGTGAGAACGGAAATCATCAAACGAAACGATTTAAACAAAAGAAACTTTAACGCGAAAAGCATTAAATGAAACTAGCGTGTTACGCACCTCCGGTGCTTCGAATTTTTTTTTTTGAATTCCAATTTTGTCAAATCTCGAAAATGTCAAATCTCGAAAACTACAAACAATTGAGTTGTCATATTTGGAGGCGAGGTTCGCAACCCCCTGAGAGTATCCTGACAGCACCCAACAACAGGGTAAGAAATTATAAACTTTGAAAAAAATTAATTTAATTATATTTAAAACTTTTTTAAAATCACAAAAAAAAGTAGTATCTCGAAAACTCTAAAGATTTGAGCAGTCATAATTGGAGGCAAGGTTCGCTACCCTTGAGTGTACTCTGATAGCCCCGAACTATAGGGTTGGGAAATTTAAAGTTTGAAGAAAAAAAATTTCGTTTAAGTTCTGTAAAAAAAAAAAATTTTGAAAAAATCACAAAAAACGTCACACCTCGAAAACTGCAAGAAATTGAGCAGTCACATTTGGAAGCAAGATTCGCAACCCTTGAGAGTACCCTGACAGCACCCTACTATAGGGAAAAAAATTTCACATTTAGAACAAACAATTAATTTTTTTGAAGATTTTTTGAAAAAATCACAAAAGAACGTGATATCTCGAAAACTACAAGGATTTAAGCCATCATATTTGAAGGTAATATTCGCAATCCTTGACAATACTCTGACAGCGACCAACTACAGTGATAGAAGAAGTTTGTTATATTATTTTGTTACTTGATTTTCTGAAAATTGTTGAGCAAAAATCACGAAAATCGTCGTATCTCTTACACTAGAAGGACTTGAGCATTCTTAATTGGAGACCGAATTCGCAACCTTTTGGGAAATCCTGACAGCATCCCACTATTGGGCAGCTTATTTTAAACTCGGTTGAATAATCACTGAATTCAAACAGGAAAATCGAAAAAAAAAATCTTAACCATTGCAATATACGATATAGCTTAAACGTGAGAAAATGCAAATACATTACGTTGAAAAAGCTTAAACGTGGCGAGATGGTGAAGCCCAGATTTAAATATATAATAGATAAAACAGTAGAAGTCGGTTTATTACATTCGAAAACAACTTCAATTTAGAAAACAGTCATGCTTTAAGAATATTCATTGGTCAGACATACCAACTGCTATACAAGATATGTGGAAGTTTTATTAATGCCATAGTTATAAATCCGTTATACTCTTTTAAAATCAAACATAACTCATCGTAGATCCTCAAGTAAACCTCTGAAAATCTAACAGAAAACTTTCATCCAATGGATGTTCCAGTACGCATCTTGAAACTCTTGTGGATTATTCATGACGTAATCAACACAAGTGCCTTTACCAGGACAGTCAGATTCGAACACATTGCCAGCCCAGTCCCCGCAGAAGTCCAAATTTAAGATTAATGTCTGGTTCTCGAAATTTGAAGGGGGACAATAGCTTCCGAAAGGGAAACTGGCGTAGGCCTCACCCCATGTCTCGGGGTTTGGGTTGTTTCCAAGAGCATCGCTTAAACCCAAGTGGAGATTTTGAGAAACTGCTCAATTCATTAGGAAAATTGCTACAAAAATTGTTCAGTAAAAGATAGGCAAACTTTATAAATTGCTCAATCTGAAAATTTTTCATTAATAGAAGATTTTCATAACTGAAAACTGGACATTGCACATTGGACATATTTTGATACATTTTTCTAAAATAGGAATCAGTTAAAACTAAACGACACGAGACAACTGGAAAAATGTTGTGGAAATGAAAACGAGGAAACCGTAAATCATTTCATTTGTTATGTAGTTTTTTCAAATTCAGTCTCAGAAAAAAGTACGACTGACCTTATTGCACTTAGAATTTCAAGATCATTATGAAACTGTGAATCTCTTTTTACTATTAACCCCACCCACCTCCCCCCTCCTTAGCAAAGGGGGAGGGGATTCGCTAGTAGGTACAAAAATCCCATGCTTAACCGTTGAATTACTTCTTACAGGGGTGACAATTCGAGACTTGGCACCAAAGGGGGAGGGTGGTTGAAGAGATTCGGAATTTCTTCATCCAGCTGGATATTTATGAAGGAAAAACCAACTTTTGAAACTAAAAATCAAACGCCTTTCACTGCTATATTTGCATTTTGGTAAAGGAGAGTGTAATTTGATTTCAATTCACTTTATGATATTGCGCTGAACCACAAAAAAGTCAAGCAGCAACATTATAAAAATGAGCTTAAATTAATTTTTGAACTTAAAGAAACATATGATATAAAAAATTGCTGTCTAACTGGCTCAAAATTGGCTTGAATGATGTGAAATTTGATTTTAAGTCTACTCAAAAGTCAGACGATTCAAAAGATGAAACTTTTGGTAAACGAAGGTCAGAACTTTTTTTGAAATAGCTGCATTCGATTATTGTTTGATCAAGCGATCGAAGAGCACTTTCAAGTCTTGTGCACCACTGACTGTGAAGCTTCTCAGCTACCTACTCAATCAAGTTCTAATAAAGTATTTTCCAAAAATCTTTTTAATCTTTCAAAGGCCTATTATTTTTATCATAACTTTTCGGCTGTTTAATTATTTGAGGGGAAAGATCTCAACCTAGGAATTTCGCCTTCGGTCCAGAACCACGAAAAGACACCATCAGAAGTCCATTCAAGAGCATATAGTCCTCCATTTCTTGAATTCAAATGGGCTCCGTACGAATTTATGTTGTCGCTTGATATTGTACATCCCGAAGTTTTGGTAGAATCGCAGTCTTGGAAACTGACTATATTTCCTAAACATAGACCAGGAAAAATTGATCAAGCAACACTAAAACGAGAATGACAAATAGTGCATGTTTTATTCTAACACAAAGCCGAAAGTACTTTTTGCGTACAAAAAAACCGGATAGTTTAAAAAGCATCTGCTGATTTGAAGACTGTTTGATCAAATGAAACTGCCTGTTTCTATCTGTACTCTACTTCTCGGCCTATAGCTGCGTATTAACATTCGCGTGTCAGACATTCGCCGCCACACCACAGAGCGAAAACGAACTGTTCTCAAATATGCGCGACAATGTGCCTTTGTACAACACAGGCTCGAGTAAATAAATTACAATTTTACAACCCGGCTTTTTACACAGAGGTGAGCTGTGCTTCGCAAACACTAGTGAGAACACGACAAAAAGCAGCTCAAAAAAGTGAATTAAAAAACTGAAAGAAGCCTCGAATTAGTAAAAAATTTGGCTTCGTCTCGGATTCGATCTGCGAGACGTAGCCAAATAAGTGAACACTTTATATTTTCAATGAACAATTTTATTTGCGAGTTAGGCTAAGAAAAAGGTTCGTACTAATACACTACGCTGCTGGCAAGTGTAATTAATAACAATCGTAATAATATTGAAAAAAAAATAGATTAATATCAGACAGCCGCATCGAATATCATTGAACGCAAGATAAAGCATGATGAAAGAACAACAAAGTATCCATACATTGTCAGAATTGAAACTATCATTAATCGACAATTTTCGTACATTTAGACGAAAAAAATTGGAAAAGAAAAAATTGAGTTGGAAGAAAAAATTTGATCGCGCAAAATCAGTCTTTGCAATAACAAGGATTGCTGGTATATATAATAACAATATTTCGACCACATTCATAGATTTCAAAAAGTTCTTAGTTTTTCAAATTAGTGCCATTGTTGTGCGTGGTGTGATGAGATAAGTATACAAGCTGATAGAATGTTAGTGCATTGGGCATACTCGACAACGGTTGTCTATCAAAAATGAAACATAGCCAACAGACAGTTGGAAAAGAGTCAATGAACCCCAGGAGGCAGAAAAAAAACTGACTGGTTTGTTAAAAAAATTTTCAACTTGAGGAAACTGGACCAATAGGTAAAGTATTTATTCCGCTGGAAAATCTGAACATTAAATTCCACTTTCGAAATTAGAAGTTGATCAAGTTTTCGCGACCTTAACAGTTTCGTAACTGGGGAGCGCAACTTATCTAACCTTTAGCAGTTGAAATTGAATTCAACTCAAACAGTGCATTTATATATGCCTAGAAGCATTCATAAGTGAAGTATAAGGGCATTTGAACAATTTTCTTGAAAAAATATCATCACGAACTATATAAGAATCTGAGCAATTTTCATCGACTCTAAATAACAAACAAAATGTAAAGCGAATCCAGCAAAAAAATATTTACAACTTTTACCGCGGAAAATTTTTTAAAGATTTTTTAATAACGCTCAAATCACGAGTGAAAAAGCTTTAATCTGATTGATCACTCGACCCATTCCATTGATTACTAGTGGTACCTCATTTTGCGTGAAAAAAAAACAAACACACCCGACGACAAGATTCCTCCCCAATTTCAATGGTCGGAACAAAAAGATCATACTTTTCAAAAAAATGCTGGATGATAACTTGTACAGACCTGAGAAGTTCCGAGATACGTTTGTAAAATCACATCCTGGTCCCGTGTGTAAGGTAGTGTCATCGTGAGTTTGCATATTAACACCCTCGATAATATCAATTTCACCCCCATACGGAGAATTTGGACCCACCAACCACCACGCTGGCCAAGTGCCACACCTAGAAATGATCATTGATCATCATTAAATTTTGACACTGTTGAAATGGCTAATGTCTGCGCCTCTTAATTGAAAGGTCCATGTTCGACTCCCACGAACTGAACCGTAGCATTGTAGTGGAACGTTTTCGCAAGAAATTTTTTCTGAATCTTTTGAGAAATAAATACCGTTCGTTATCTTCATAAATTTAATCGAACTCAAAAAAAATGGTATTGCAAAAGCAACACGCATCAATGTAAACATCATAGATCCGCATCTCACATTTTAGTTAAATTATCTCAGAAAAAACTTATTTTAAAACATTTTTAATCAACAAAAAGTAACTTCCAAAATCCGTCAATTATATACTGAACTTACCCGTAAGGCATATGCGATAAGTACAAAATGAACAATCCATAACTGAACGTTTGTTTCGACTGTATGCGGATCGAATCTCGTCCATGCTCTAAAGCTATTCGCTCATGATCACACCCAATATACACGTCGCCACCCTCCGAAATATTTATATAACCATTGTCGAGAGCGGTTTGGTGGTCAACGTAGTTAACGAATCCATGACTGGGATCGGCTTTATCTAGAAAGTCAAAGTAGTCGAAAAATGTTTCACCTTTAGCCTCGAATGTAAGGTTCCAAGGCTGAACAGATATAGCTTTGCATACGAACAAAGAAATAATAAAAATCAAATTATAATTCATTTTGCAAAATTAAGAAATACTATGTCAATAATGAATACGAGCAAAGTTTCTGGTATTTCGATGGCTTTAATAGGCGGGGCAAGAAACAGAACGTTCTTCCTCATAAGCAAATTTACCTTTTAAGTATAGAGCAACCAGATTAGAACTAAACATTTAAATTCAAGTCAATGCATATCTTACTGCACCCAAAACCATATTGGAAACGTCACTTAGTTTAATAGAATAACGAGCGGAAGAAGTCAAACTCTCATTTCAGATACTGCAAATGAGTATTTCTGTTTATCTCATGGATATTTGGAAATAAGAACAGGACTAAGTTTTTATGTTGGACGAAGTACTTCACGTACCTATCCAGAGAAAATCGACGGGACAACGTGCAGAAGATGTTTGAAAACAGAAACGATTCTTTCACAAAGAGGCGATGCGGAGCTTCGCTTCACTTGAGATACAAAAATTGATGACTACAATTACCAACAAATGAAAAGACAAATCGAAAATTTAAAAAAAAAAGCTTCAAAAAACGTCAAAAAAGGTTACAAAACTTGCAAGAAAGGACGAAAAATTCCTGCAAAAAAAACTACCTGCACCACTATAAACTTTACAAAGAGCTTTCAAAATGCTTATGGAAAACGAACCTTTCTGCGGAACCTATGCCGACAAAAGTTAGCAGACATGAAAGACTACAATATTCGAAACTTTCAGTTTCCATAAAAAAACAGGTCCCGACTGAAATCGAACTTCTAGGATTTGTCGTCCCAAGATTGTGTGTTGGCACTGCACTGAACACTCCTACAATTTACAAAGAAAACAATTTCCAAAAATGTGTAATGAACAGCACGAAAAAAAAGCAAAAAAATAGGCAAAACTTAGTCCAAAACAACTTCCAACACAATTTAGTCCAAAACAACTTGGTCCAAAACCACTTCCAAAAATTTGTAATGAACAGCATGAAAAAAATAGCAAAAAAATTGGCAAAACTTAGTCCAAAACCAGAATACACTGAAATGTTTTTTCTTCTTTTAATTTCAGTAAAAAATGTCCAAGTTTTAGGCAAATTTGATGCTGCCGGACCTAAGCCGATTAAACAAATCAGACAAACAAAAGTCCAGCTAAGATTTTTTGATGCGCGGACAATTTTCCGCCCAAAAAGGTCCTGGCCGGATTGGAACCAATGACCTTTGCCTTATAGGCAAGTGCGTTAGCTCTTCGCCTTATGCGCGAATCGACTTTTGATTTCATATGAATCAAAAGTAAAATTATTCAAGACTGCCTTAATGACAGCACCAATCTGCCGGTCTAAAAACAAACGCACATAAACAACAACAAGAATAGCAGGTTGCTGTGCAAATAGCACAGAATGTTCCAATCATATTCATTAGAAAAGTGTTTCTTTTTTTTTGTTTTTTTTTCTTCAATAAGTGTGGGTTTTAGTGCGTGGTGCGATTTGAGAACTCTACAACCGCGTATAAACTTAAACAATTAGACATTTTCCGCAACATTAATTTTTTTAAAAGTAAAGACAAACTAAAAACAAACAATTTTGAAAAAAATATTCAATTTTTTGCACAATTTTTTAAATTTTTTTTTAGAAAACCTGCCTGACAAGGAAGCACTAAATTAAACAACCAAAACTTGTTTTCCGTATAGTGAAATTAAGTTTAAAAGCCTAAATAAAAGTAACTTCACATATAACGATTGTTACTCGATCGCTTTACTAGCTCGAAATTAGACGAAAAATCAGAAATGTTGAACCCGTTTTTCTCGACACTGGGAAAATTTGTTGGAAAGTATTTAATGTCGTTCAAATCACGACTCAAAGGGCTTTTATATGATATATCACTCAGCCCAGTAGGATGATTATTTGCGGTACCTGACTTTGCGTGGAAAAAAACTTAAACACACCCGAATACGAATTTCCTTTCCAGTTTCAATGGTCGGAATAAAAGTCATTTCAATCAGCCAGTATATCGTAACCTTTGTGTTATTTGCAAAAATCAATTCAAAGATATTACCACACAAAAGATTATTTCGTAAATACAATGTCATCTCAATAAGCGTCTTCCAGTATTCGTTTGGCCTAATTGTGCCTTTTATATTTCTAGATCAAAACGTTTCAATCATCAACAAATTCAATTTTACTCAAGAACAAAAATAATCAGAAACACAATGAAAAAATAGCATATCACAGAAATCTTTCATTTTTCTGTGTTTCCGTTCGAGTCAATCAAGCTGAACTTGTATGCAATCTGAATTATTGTCTGCTAAAATTCGATTTGGTCCACTTTGCTTCTAATAAATCTAAAAACTTTCATCATCAAAAACTTTCAATCGTCATCAAATTTTATTTTACTCAAGAATTAACTAGCATCAGAAAAATCTCATGAAAAACATTGCATCCGATAAAAAAAAACTCAGAAATCTTTGATTTTTCTGTGTTTCGGTTTGGGCCTGTCAATCTGAACTTGTTTGTATGTCATTTCAATCAGCGTCTGCCAGTATTCGATTGAGTCTGGATCTAACTCTTCCAAAATAGGTGGCCCGTTTTTCCGAATTGTCCACAGCCACTCTGGGTAAGCTGAATTGTCTGGATTGATTTCAGGGTCATCTTTATCTTTGTATACCTGGAATACAATACACTTGATTTTCAAAAAAGCAATACCTTCAAAATTATAAAGTAATTTTGAAATCGGCGATCGAACACAAGGAATAAAATCAGCTCAAAAATTTTAATATTATTTTAAAAGCGTATTGACTTCTTCTTATTGTAAAATTCCTTTTTGGCGAGCTTCAACTAATAATTTCAGTCGATTCGATTTTAGTGGATTTTAGTCTTTTCAAGTTCCGATGACAGTTTAAAATGGTGACTTTAGCTGATTGAGAAGCCTCAAATTGTAAGAAAGATCCGCGCTTTAGATCGCAATGCCGAATTTGTATCTGACATTTGAAGTTCGACTTAACATTAAGCAACTTTTTCACAAGTATCACGTGAAAATTGCACAAACTTCACAAACCCTAACCTGAGCTCCAATGCAGTAATTGGCAAGTGAATCCGCATCTTTCGGTAGTGTAATATTAGCCCCAGTTGATGAAGCCCCTCCTTTCGCCCCTCCCACTCTAACCCCACCCGGGGGTTTAGCCTTAGCGAAGAGGGGGGCACATCTGCAGCAGAAAGACCGAGTAGAGATGAAGAATGAACTGCCATTACGAAAAGCCATTAGAATAAACTGAAATAACGCATTCCTTGGCTTATATTTTCATGCATTTAATTCCCTCACGCATAGAATAATAATTATTATTATATTAAATTGTTTTCAGGCTAGAATACCAGTAGTGCTTGTTATAAAACCGCAAAAAAAGCGGATCCTCGCACTCCATAAATAATTGAGAAAGAACCGTTAACCAACGTTAGGAAACAGAAAAAAAAGGACTTTCCGAACTTCACAATGTAAAATATGGCCTCAAAGCTTTTCGAATTCGAAGATTAATTTATGATTAACACGTTTGGATTTTAAAAACACAGTTGAGAAAACTGGAGCAATAAGTAACCATTTTATTCCGCTGGGAATCTAATTTTTACATTTATTACATTTTTACAGGTATGTTTGTCGTTTTTTATAGATTTCTGGGTTTCGATAAAGGAAATTGTCTTCCTTTTAACAAAATAAACGAATTGAATTTGAAAACATAGCCAATCGAAGATAGGACAAGAGTAATGAACGCAATTTAACATAAAAAAACACTGACTTTCTTGAAAAAATCTCAAATTTCGAATTTCAAATAAAAAAACAGATGCCCTTGAGAAAAAGTTTTTATTCCGCTGCGAAATCTTAAAAATAAACTCTACTTTCGAAACTAGAATTTGTTCACGTTTTTTGCGCCATTTCCAAGTTCGTATTTGAAGAGTGCTATTTACGTGAATTTCAGCAGATGAATTTCAATTGAACTCAAAAGGTGCATTATACCTAAGTCCATCAATCTGAAAAAAAAAAAAAATTAGCAAGACCTATTTAAGAGTCTTCACTACGTTCATTACTCTTAAAAAAATCAAAATTCAACACTCGAAAAATCAAATTACTGAAAAAAAAACAATCATCACGACTTATATTTTGGTCTTCATTGCGTTCATCGACTCTTAAACGGCAGAAGTTGCCGTTTTTCTTAAACGTTTTCAAAGAACCAGGATAGTCAAGTGATGTCCAAGTAGCACAGAGTCTTCGTGTCTTCGTACTGCAACGATTGAAGTAAATAAATTCAAATTTGAAACTGCTTTCATTTTTTAGCCAATTTTTCTGTTGTTTTCATTTTTATCAGGGAATTGACTTAGTTCACAAACTGTATAAGTTGGATTAAACAACAGCTGAATTCAATTTACAATGTGTAAAAATTGAATTAAGAGCTTTGTGCCATCTGTGAATTTAGAACATTTGTTACCAAAACCAAAACAACTTTTATTTTTTTTTGGAAATCGAACCACAGCTTATCGGTATTCAATATGATTCATTTGGCCCTCTACGGGCTTAATTAAGGGTAGTCGAAATTGAGGAAAAAAACTATACCTTGCACATAGTTATTTCCTGACACAAGTGACAAGGTCGGACAATAAATCTAGAAAATTGAACTGAGCCAACGAACAGTTGGAAAAGAGTAATAAACGCAAGAAAACAAAACCGACTTGTTTTTTTTGACAAACCTTCAACTTTTGAATCTCAAACAAAAAATAGATGGCCTTAAAGCTCTTTGAACTTGTACAACAATTTATGATGGACACTTTTTTTGTTAAAGTTAACCCTATTTGAGAAAACTGAATCAATAGGTAAAACTTGTATTTTGCTGGGAAATCTGATAATTAATTTCGAAATCAGAAACATTTTTCGAAATTAAAAGTCGAAAACGTTTTGCGTGGCTTTTAAAATTTTACTGTTCGATAATGGAGTTCGCCTTCCTTTTAACAATAGAAAAGCACTGAACTTAAAAAAATCACAGGTTAAACCGCGAAAAATCAAAAATGAGCGTGAAAAAATTAGAAGACTTTTTCCTGAAAAAAAACAAAGAAAAAAACAGCAAAACCTATATAAGAGTACTCACTACGTTGATTACTCTTATTAACTTGAATGCTGCAATTAAAACCCTCAGAAAAACAAAATATGCATTCCATCGTATACACTATCGATTAATTTACTCTGCCGCTGATTGCTAAAAAGTTTTTATGTTATTCAGAAATAGAAATAGCTTGTCCCACAGAATGTTTCGACCAGTTACAGTTAATTTAAGAACTGCTTTTGCTTATTTTCGTGTCGCTGCCAGCTAAAAAGTTTTTATACTTTTCAGAAATTGAAATTGCTCGTCCCACAGAATGTTCCGACCAGTTAATTTAAAAATTGTCTTTTTAGCTTAATTTCTTTTGTAGGTGATGCTGGAAATGAAGAAAAAAAAGTCCGCTTGTATGAAAAATTTGGCGGCTTTAATTCATTTAAGTTATATTTGCAAACCAAATAACAAAAAAGAAAACAATTTCTTCTTTTTTTCCGGTATTATTTGGAACTTTTGAGATTTTGATACCAATTGCTGTGTATGTAGCAGATTTTTCCGACCAATATTCCACGTTAACATTCTTCAAATTTCAAGAATTGTTAATAATTGGTAGTTAAAATTCTTCAAATTTCAAGAATTGTTAATAATTGGTAGCTATCCCGTTTGAACAAAACTGGATCAAAAGTTGAAACTACAAAACATAGCCAACTGACACATGGAAAAGAGAATTGAACGCAAAGAAACATTAAAAACTGATTTGTTTTTTTAAAAAAATATCAACCTTCGAATTTCAATGAAAAAAAAATGGCCTTACCCTTCTTTGATTTTCTAGAACAAACTTATTATTGACAAGCTTTTCATGGAATAAACCCAAATTGATAAAACTGGATCAATACGAACATTTTATTTTACGGGGATATCTGATAATTCAACTCCACTTTCGAAACTAGAAGTCGATCACATTTTTCGTGACCTTTACACTTTTGCTGTTCGATAGTTGAGTTTGCCTTCCTTTTAACATTGGAAAAGCACTGAACTTAAGATATCATAATTGAAACCGCGAAAAATCAAAATTAAGCGTGAATAAATTTTAAGAATTTTTCCTGAAAAACAAAAAAAATCATCAAGACCTATAAAAGTTTCTTCACTACTTTCATTTCTCTTAACTATGAAACTATTCAAGTTTTTCACGACCTTTACAACTTTGCTGTTTGATAGTCGAGTTTATCTTCATTTTAACTAAGGAAATGAACTGAAGGCAAAAATCAAACCGCGAAAAGTCAAATTTGAGCGCAAATTAGTTCTAAGATTTGCCTGAAAAACAGTTTGAGAACTGTCAATGCATGCAAGGAAACAGACAACTAAATTGATTTCTTTTTTAATGAAAAGAAAACGTCTATCTTTGAATTTCAAAGGAAATTTTTACTGGTTTAAGACTCCTTGAGCTTCAAGACCAATTTATGCTTGATACTATTTAATGATAACTTGATCAATAGGTAAAATTTACAATCCGCTGTGAACTCCGGAAATTATAGACAAGTTTTAAAACAAGAAATCATTCACGTTTTCCGAGAACTTTAAACTTTTGGTGAGAGTGTGCTTTCCTTTTAACAAAGGAAATGAACTGAACTTAAAAAAAAAACCTAAGTTGAAACCGCAAAAAATCAAATGTGAGCGTGAACAAATTTTAAGACTTTTTTCTGAAAAAAACCTAACACAACTTATATAAGTTTCATTACTACGCTCATTGACTTACCAAAAAAGAACAAAAAAAATCACTCATTGTTTTTCATTTGAAACATCAAAAAAACATTTGAAAAAAGCTTTAACTTTTTTTCCCAGTTACTTTATTTTAAGAAAAGGACAACTCAATGAGATGAAAAGTCAGTTATCCTGTCATCAATTTTCGTCTAATATAGAAGATAAAATCAAAATATTTTTTCAACACTAAAACAATGTTCAATTTTTTTTAGAATTCGAATCTAAATTTACTATCTTAAAAAATGTACCCTACGCCATAGTTCCTTCCCAGATCTTCTAGAATGGTCAAAACAAATAGATATCCGTTCATATTCTATGGTGCTAACTAGTAAAACGGAAAACAATAGACATTATATTTCATTTAAATCTCATATCAATTAGCTAGTTCTTCAATCAATTAATCAGTCTATTTCTTGATCGTCTTCGAAATCGGCGCTACTCTTGAGTAGTTCAAATCTCTCTTCGAAGTACTGTTTTAGTGTGTGCAGATGAGACAGTTTCTTCGCGAAGGTCAACTTGTGGTTCTTAGACAAGCCAACACAAACAACCTGTAAAAAAAGAAAAACTAGGTTCCTATTCAATATTGAAATGGATATTATCAGATTCGATATATTTTTTATTAACGATTACAGTATCAAAACGAAATTATTTAATTTAAGATAACAGAATCAGAAAAAATTGATCGGAAAAGTCAATAAATTACTCAAATCAGCAGTTGAACAAACTCTTATTTTAAGACCCACAAATTCCCTTTAAGCCAATCAATTATTATGCGAATTAGTAAAATTGCCCTCAATAAACCCATCTGCATTAACAAAAAAATTTCAAGAATGTATAAAATTTGCAGCTGAGTTGTTATTTGAAGTCGCCAATTACACTAATTCTGAATGTTGAGAAGTGTTTCATAACCAATGTTCATGAAAATATTCCGATATGATTTCTTTTAGTTGTTTAGTAATAATACTACGCCCCCCTCCCCGCAAAACATATTTTCAAATAACGTATTTTACCTCCATGAATGTCTGAATTCTCGGATGTTTCGGGAAGTCTTCCACAAATTTCAGTAGAAACACGTGATCCTGGAACGGAACATTCTCTTCTTCCTCAAATCCCTGCTCGTTGTTGATTGGAAACTTCCAGAGTTTTCCCTGATTTGTCAATTTAATCATCTCTTCAAATCCATTTTGAGTCGGTGTTTCAAAAAGCGCAGCTGTATCTTTGTGTAACAAAACATTCCACGTTGAATCAAGCTGATTTTGTATCGCTTTTTCAGACGAAGATTCAACTTCAACTCGCTTGCAGAATTTTGGATCGAATATATTAAGACGCTCCATTCCATATAACGGATAAGACTTATTTGAAAATTCACCTCGTCGGTCGCGTCTTTGTTGACCTTCACCTCTCAAATTTGACCTTTCCTGGAACCATTCTTGCGAATCATCTTCCGTCTCTTGAAGTTCATTTTGTGCATACTGCGATATGTCAGCAAAATATTCATCCAACTCTCGATTTTGACCTGTTTGCCTTTGAACCTTAAACTCCTTAGGGGTCAAATCGTCAACCTTTTCCCTGGTTTCAGCTGAAGGTCTGGGGAATTGCTGCATCAAAGCTCTCAAACCAGTTTCACCACCTTCTAGATCAACACTTTGCTGGAATTTAGACCCGTATCTCGTTGCTTTTTTATCATCAAATTGTTCAAGTTCGTCACTTCTTTCATGCTGCTTTTTTTCGCGAGTACCTTTTTGCTCCTCTAGCCAATTTATAGCACGTTTTCGGCTCTTGTTCATGGTTGACTTGGAAACTTTCGTCACTTTTTCAAAATTCACCTCCTTATTTTTGTTACCCATACGTTCGTGATGTTCTATGATAGCTCTCATCAATGGACTTTTATAACCTTCATCAGTTTCTAGAACTTTCGCAAGTTGATTTTGAACCTCATTTACATCTTGCTCTTTTTCTGAAGTTTTGAGTGGTTTCTTTTCAGTTTTAGATTTGCTTTCTTTACGGATTGGGTTGAGATAGTCGACCATTGAATCGTCAGTTTTTGAAGATTCTTTGAATGATTGAAGTAAACTTCTGTTGAGCATATTAGATAGCTTTTTAGACTCCTCAAAACTTTCCCACTTGGGAGAATGTTTAGCGCTTGACTCCATATTTGAATATGTTTCCTCTTCATATGGACTTTCAGCCTCTTCCAAACCTAAAACATCAAAAACATCAGGTTTTATTTGAAGTAATTTTAAAAGGACACTTTTACACAGAGCCGAAGCTTTGCATCGCAAACAGTGGAAAAGCGACAAAAAAGCAGCTCTATTAATTGCAATAAAAAAGTTGACATAAGCTTCGAAACATTAACTTTTGCTACGTGCCGGATTCGAACAAGAAATTAAGCGTCCTCCGCCCTTCCCTCTCAACCACGGACGCAGACTGAACGTCAAACACTAGCCACAAAAAAGCAGATAAAAAAAGAAATTTTCAATACTACAAATAGTGATTTAGGAAAAGTGACAGCCAATGAGCACCTTTTTTTGAAAGTTAATTTGAAAAAATAGAGCCATACTAATGCACTACGTTCGCTAGCGCAATAAGGATAATTAACAGAGGCGAAGCTGAGATTCGCACCGCTTGCGATTCCCAAACAAAGCATGGCGAGCTTGTCGACCGAAAAACTAGACGATTCATAAAATCAAAAGTATTTTGAAGAAATATCCAATAACTGAAAATATTTTAAAGAAACATAGCCAACTGAAAGTTGGAATAGAGTACTGAACGCAAGGAAACTGAAAAAAACTACTTGTTTTTTCAAAAATCTTAGCTTTTGAATTTCGAAGAAAAAAAATAGATGTCCTTAAAGCTCTTTGAATTTGTAGAACAATTTATGATGGACACCTTAATGTTAAAATTAACCCATTTTGAGAAAACTAGATCAAAAGGTAAAACTTTCATTTCGCTGGGAATTCTGATAACCAATTTCCATTTTCGAAATTAGAAGTCGATCACGTTTTTCGTGACCTTTACAATTTTGCTATACGATAGTGGAGTTTGCTTTCCTTTTAAGAAAAGAAATGCACTGAATTTAAAAAGTAATCACAGGTCAAAACGCGAAAAAACAAAATTGAGCGTGAACAAATTTCAAGACCATTTACTGAAAAAAAAAATCAGCAAGACCTATATAAGAGTACTCAGTACGTTCATTACGCTTAAAAAAACATGCCGAGAAAGCAACTGCCTGCATTATATTGATATTTAGAAAAATTACGAAACAGTAACTACGCCCTCAAAATTTGCACAGACCTCCGTTCGCAAGATTTGCTTTCCAGCTGAAGAAATATGTCGTAAAAATTTCAAGCTACCAAACAATTTCGGAACTTGGTATCAAAATACTCGAAAATTTAGATTGTTGATAAATTTCAATCCTGGTTGTGTGTCTGTTGCACTTAAAATCAAGTTAAAAAAACCAATAGCCAATTGATGACAAACCTAGAAAACAACTGATTATTACAGCATGGCCTTGAACGTCCAGAATTTTCTTGAGATGTCAAAAATTTAAAAATTTTAAATATTCTAGAATATTATACTATTGACATATTTTGATGAAAAACCGAAGCCCAATCAGAAAAAAAAACTGGATCTATAGACGATTTTTTATTCCAGAATTCTTACAAGTACATTTCTCGAACTAGGTCATTTCACATCTTTTGGCGCCATTTCCAATTTAATATTGGAGAGCGATGTGTTTTTCATAAAGCAAAGGAATTTGTTAAAAATTGAACCTCAAAATATTAAACTCTGCTTGAATAACTTTTTGAAAAAAAAACTAAAAAGCAAAAAGTAATCATTGTTGACAAAATCCTTAAAAACCTCAGACAAAATTTTCAAAGCAAACGGTTCAAACAAAAAAAAATGAGAACTGGCTTTTCTAGAGTAAGAAACATTCATTTTGAACGCAAAATCCGATATTTCGAGCCAAAAACAAACCCTTTTGAAGCACGGGCTAAAAACTCAAAAACAAGGATGGTACAAATTAACCGATGCAAATCTTTTACATAACTAACAGACAGAAAGTGGTAATGAACTAAAAAAAAATCTACTGCAAAATTTTGAAGCAGTGTCAAAAAACATTACACATAGAATTTCGAAGCTCTACGAATCTCAAGGACCTTTTATAACTGGCTCTTTTTTGCTAACACAAACCCATTTTGAGAAAATTGGGTCACTCGAGTTTTTATTCCACTGGGAATTCTTAAACTGGAAATTTATTTTCAAAAGTAAAAGCGTAGCACATTTTTTGCGCTATTTTCAATTTGAAGTTTTTATCTTCTAGATTATGTCCTCGAGGCAATCAATCTGTAGATACAGAGCAAAAAAGTTGATAAATTACGATAGCTAAATTATTACCTTCGTTAGCATTCACATGAACTCCATTATCAACCACGAGGTTTACAAAAAGGCGCAATTTGGATTGTACAGTTAGGTAGCATCCAGAAAAAATCGCAGCTAAATTATTTAATTTTTTATCTACTGCAAAATTTTGAAGCAATGTCAAAAAACATTACACATAGAATTTCGAAGCTCTACGAATCTCAAGAACCTTTTATAGCAGGCTCTTTTTTGCTAACACAAACCCATTTTGAGAAAACTGGGTCACTCGAAGCCAATTGAATTCTAATTATTCAAATTTGCGAAAATTTTAGACTACGAAATTGATGAAAGAGCAATCTGATGATTTTGATTAACTTCTGCATCCAAACTTGAAACTCGGATGCGACATAAACTAGCCTGAAAACATAACTTTTGAATAGATATTTTTGAAACAAGTCATTTTTGCTCTTTCAAATAATAAAACACACAATCACGTTCTTCTGCAACTTTCAATTATTCGCGTTCTGTATCTAGCACTTAGAACGTAATTAAACTCATCTTCATAAACAGTGTCTTCTTCCTGTTGTTGCAATTTGTTCAGCTCATTACTCATCGCATTCGCTCGCATTCCTCTTCCGTAGTGTTCGCCTGATTCGTCCTTCGCTCCCAATGCAATTTCACACAATTCGGCTAATTCGTTCTGAATCTGCTTCATTTTTGTTCCTACAATCACAAAGGGAAACCATTTTGACCAAAAATTACCAAGGAAAAAACTAGTTTACTTTATAAAATTACCAATGATAGCCAATACAACCTTTTTTTTCACTAAATTGGTTCAACCAACGATTAAAAAGTGGCATGATAAACTGTGAAACCAAACAATAGAAAATCATTCATATACACAGAAGTTAAGCGGAGCTTCGCACCACTTGCGATACGACACGAGGCTTAGGAAATTGGACACGCAAATTAGACGACCGTAAAAAACCGGAATTTAGACGAAAATTCTTTGTGAATTTAGACAACAAGAACTGTAGGGACAACCAGCAATTACTGAATCAAAAATTAAATTAAGTCTGTAAAAAAGTTTCACGCAATTTGCGCGCCGCAAATTATCGTCTAAGTTCCGTTATTTTCTGATCGTTTGATATGCTTGTCGTCTGATTTCGTAAGCCCCAAATATTAATTTCACAAAAAAAACTTGAAAGAGTCAAACAAAGTTTTTGAGTCCCGCCTCAAAACATTCCGACAACATCTTTCTTTTGCTCATCAAATGACTGGAAACGAGGCCGCCAAGCCGATATATTATAAGCCAAAACTTTTCAAGCCGAATTAAGGAAAAAAGAGAAAAACTGATATACTGAAATCGCAATACCTAAATATACAACCATAAAAAAAATGAAAATTAAAACGCAGTCATGCTTAAAAATAAGTCGCAGTCATTGGACGAAAATACAAATTTGGATATGAGCAGCAGTTTGAGTCATCCTGTGATAAAAGTCATTTACAGGGAAAAAGTACCCGATTGCAATACCCTTGCGATGCCTTTTGCAAAGGTATTTATCTACTTTAGTAAGTTCATACTTATAATGGAAATCTTTCCAGACCTGCCCATTTTATGACGTTGACTAACAGGAATAATACCTGAAAATTTCAAAAGATATTTTCCCTGAAGTTCTTACAAGACTTATTTCTAAAAGTTTTATAAGAATAGTCCATGAAATTTATACAAGAATGGTTTTTGAAAACTTTTCAACTGTTTTTAAGAAGTATATCGTGCCTTTGACTTTCTCTTTGAACGCCTTCGATGCAATGACGGCCTCCTTTCTGGCTTGTGTTCTGGCATGGTTCACAAATTGCTCATTTCCAGTCACTTTCTGGTCGCGTTTTTGTGCGTTTGGGTCTTGGATCACTTGGTCCAGTGGGACTCGCTTCAGCTTGATATTAGCCAGAATTCCTGTTTCAAAAGAAAATTTGTTAGGCTATAACAATTAAAACTAGAAAGCAGATAATACTTTGAACAATTAGAGGCAAAAATCTAGTCCAAAGCAGGAAATTTCTTAGTCAACCGTAATTTTAGTCTAGAATTGATATTTTTGCGCCAACGAGGCAAGTGAACAAAGAAACTCCGAGAGAAAACAAGTGATCAGTTTGCATATACCCAAAAAGTAAGAAAAAACAAATAAGACTTTCTCATTGCAATTAAATATTGTGACCGACAGTTTTACACAGGAGCAAAGTTGCACTTCGCATACACAAGCAAAACTACGACCGATAACGCTACTGGGAAAAACGGAATGAGTAAAACATTGAGTCTTCAAAATTCTTAAGTGACGCACACCAATTATGAGTCTACATAATTGCTAAGCGACACCAGTCAATTATGACGCAAGCCAATTATGACACCAAAACGCATTTTAACTAGTATACGAAAAAGTTCATTAAAAACATCCGACCCTACCCAAGTTCGAATCCTCTTATTTTGTTGCCACTCTCCTTCCTTACCTCTACGCTACAGATCCATGATACCTTGAAGCTAAAGTGATATTTTTAATATAATAGTCTGTGTTAATATCCTTCGCTGTACTTAATAGCTGGTTTTTGGCTAAAATGAACCCTTTCAAAATGAACAAATTTCATCGCAACAATATTTGCGTCGCAACAATATTTGCGACTTAGGCTGAAAAAAAGAGAGATCAAACTATAACACAAGCTTTGCTTGTGTAAATAAGAAAGTCAAGTTTTCCAAACTTTACCTAAGCCCATAGCACTTTCCTGGGCAAAATTAGGGAGTAGCTGCTTATGCAAGGAAAATTTCTACAACCTGTTATTTGAATTGAGCCCTATAAAACAGAAGGGAAAGGATAATTGCCAAAAATTAAGTCCGTAGCCGTTTCCCAATCAAACTCTGGGAGTAGCCTTTTATCAGAGAGGTGTCACAGTATTGTTTCAAACTAATTTTGTGGAAAACTTTTCAAAAAAAAATAAAATTGAATTTTTGATGACAAATAAGTTAACCCATTTATGGTTGCTTAATCGTAAAATAAGTTGAAACGAGCAAATTCTTGATATAAACAAATAGTAATTACGATATTAAATCTGAACACTTCTGACTGTTTTTGTAATGAATATTTATACACAAATTAGTTTTCCAATTATTACATTCGAAATACATCGGGACCTGTCTTTCATAGTTGCTTTTTCGAGGGTCTTTTTTCGACACTCTATCAAAGTAGCACCGGTAAAAATGTGAACTTTCTGTAGCGTCTCAAAATACCCATTCCATGGATTTATAATAATAATTGCTTTTATTAAAATAGGAACTCCGATTTGCATTCACTTTTATCCAGGCAGCCATAACACGCTAAAAACGCCCGATATTATGACGGGAATAAGAATTTCATGACCTCGTGTCTTTCATGGAAATGGCTGTTAAAAATACGCCAATTACAACTCAATTCAATGTAAACAAATTAAGGAGTGCGTTCTGTATTTGTACAACCGCGTATTCATACTCGTCAGTAAGCAGACGAATACTATATTAGAACCAGATCTAAACTAGAATTTATTATCGGTGTACCTTATCTGGAATTACTCTATGAGTCATAACTCATCTGGTGCGACCAGAAGTCTCAAACAGACCTTAACTAACCTAGATTTAGAAAAAATGGATTAGACTTAGACAAAAGAACATTTTGAAAATGTTAAATGACAAAAACTTAGTAGAAATGTCTCTACGACTCAATAGATCAGATCCAATATTCCGAACAATACGAGAACTACCCGGTATTGGAAAAAGACCTCGAACAAGAGACGACGTACGACTAGAAAGAAATCTACCAATCGAGTTCATGATTGTACAAAAACCAGATCAAACTTTTATATTTAGAATACTTCCAGCAGTAAAATTAAGTTTACATTTACTGACATAAAATTTTGAAGAAATCTTCAATAACCTTTCATGGCGCTAAACCTAATAATTATACAATAACGACCGATAAAAACAACACTAATCGTTCTCCTTGTTAAGTCAGCTGTAAATTAAAAACATCTTATAAAAATATTTATTGAATATAAAAGTACAAAAATTAGTAAGCATAAAGCATAAATTGTAAATATATACAAATCATCCCATCATCCTAGCTTCATCACCTAAAACATAACAGCAAATCTCAAAAACAAACAATCATCAAAACTAAAAACTTAGCTTTTTAACTTAACCTTTTATCGATAAACTATCGAGGCAATTTCATTTAAAATAACAGATCATCAAGGCTTCCCTTGGATCTTTAAATTAAATTAAACTAAATCTAAATTTCTGATCATCAAGGCTTATCCTTGGATCAAATAGAACAATTTTGTTCTCCCCCTCCCATATTAATTAGTGTCTAACGACCTCAAACGTCGATTCACTACCCAACCCTTATTAAAGACCCAGAATTAACAGAAAATTTTCAAAAAACTAACCATTCTAATTAGGATAAACAGTGAAGAACTTCGGTTACTCATCCTTCACTTGATCCCCTTCCTGCTAAATGACCCAGGCTAAAACACTTAAACTTAGTAAGTCATAAAATAGTATCTAACGAACTGCTTGCGTTCTAATTATACCTGAACCTTGTGGATCGATTTAATATTCTCCAACCCTTGATCACAAATCACAACCCCTAAGTAAGATTAAGTAAGTCTATCTTAACTTAGAATTAATCACGAGAAAGTAAAGATCATTCTCACGAATCGATATATGCTTTTCTCTCCAACCCGACAAAATACGCCCCAAGTTAAGCTAACCACAAAAAATCGTAAGCGGTATCAGTTTAAGACACTAAAAATCACTAACCCCAAAATTGCATCCATCAGCCTAAACCTTATGTCGAGAGACAATTTAGGAAACAAACAAACAATTATATTACAACTGTTTAATTAACGACGAAATATACGACCTCGTAATCACACCACACAGACAAACAATAGGATACATAAGAACAAAAAGACAAACACTAAGAAAGAAAATTATTAACAAACAAAAACAAATTATTAGGAAACGATTTTCAAAACTAAGAAACGCTCAGAATCAGAAACAACCGCAATACAAGAACTCCACAATTAAAGAGACTCAATAAATAAAAACTATCAAATTGACGATCAAATACATTTTTCTGACTCAGAAACCACGTCACCAGCATCAATAAAAGGAAAACGTAGAAGAAAAAATTGTTATACAAACAACCCAATACGTCTGTACAATTGGAATCAACCAATAAGACACATTGAAAATTACACGCTAACAGCGATAAAACACAAAAATGATTCGAAATGAAGAAAACCTACAAGATTCAACACTCCCATTTTTGACACATCCACAAGCTGAAGCTCGAGGACAGGTACAATTTTGCCAAAATTTAATCGTAAATTTATTCGAAAAAGGAGATCGTCCATGCACAAAAGAATTTCCCGATGTAAAAATAAAAAGACAACTTCTTGACCACTATCTCAAAGGCATATGTAGTCTCTCATCACAATATGGAATCTACACAATAGAGATCAGTTCACCAAACGCATTTCATGACAAATATCTCATTCAAACTGATGACGTAGATATTAAACTTTCAAGTTTTTACAGAACACATAAAAATATACAACATCATAACTCACAAAGAGCAAATTCAATATTCACAAACGATGTATTTTCACTTATCTATAGTTATTTATCTATATTAGAATTGAAAGAACCTCAAGGCGATTCACCAACTCAAAAGTCTCGACATACAACCGTACGCCAAGAATTACATGTATTTTCAAAATTTTCAAATGCAATCAGTGAAAATCTAACTCGTAACGAAATAACAACACGTTAAACACGATTTACAAAAAATCTTAGCATGGTTCATAATCGATTATTTTGTTCATAATGTTGATCTTATAGCACAAGCAAGAAAAAATTTTAGACCACAAAATACAGATGAAACGCAGATGAAATGCAGATGAAATACAGATTATCTAAATGCAGTCATAGCAAAATTAATTTTAAATATAGGACCTGAACCAGTAAATACGCCGCTTCATCGAAATTGGATACATAGACTCACAGTCTTAATCCAAACCCCTTGACGGCGCAGCCCAAAAATGGTTTTCAGTTTTACCTATAGAAAAAAAATCAGATTGAAAAAGATTCACACAAGATTTCTCAAAAATGTTTGATTCTGAAAGAAACAAACAACATCAAAGAGTTTTGTGCAATGAAAGTCGTAGACTACCAAATGAAACAATTAAACAACTCGCAGTAAGAATTGAAACATTAGACCGAAAAGCATATTCACTCAATACCCATGATTATAAAATATACCAAGATGACAGATCTTAATGATGACTAAAAACTCAATTACGAAAAATGGCAATAAAAAAGAGAGCATCACATCCTTCCTCAATCCGAGAACCAGATTTAGACTTTAGGAAACTAGTAGATAAACTAGAACAAGCTGAAATCACTATAGTTTTAGATGAAACAGAAAACCTAAAGCTACAATATGTCAACAACATACAAACCACTACTTCACAAATAAACAATATTCATGACTCCGGTACAGAATTATCTGAAAAAATCACTGAAATCTTAAACATATACGAGAAAAACCCAAATTTTAAAGGTAAACCATCAATCAAAAAATGGTGCAATTATTGCCGAAGATACGGACACAGCATTGCCGAAGGCAGACAAAAACAACAAGACAATCAAAATAAACCACAAAAATATAGAGAACCAAATAAATCATTTCATCAGTACATGAAAAAAGATCGAAATTTACCCAACAAAAACATTCATAATAATAATAGTTCAGGAAAACCACTTCCAAATAATTCAAATTACTCTAGACAACAATCACCTTAAAATCCAAATTATCGACGACGATTACCAAACCAAAGAAATTCACGAAATTTCTCACAAAACAGATATAG